AAGGATCACATATTTACAATCTCTTTTAACCAGTATGGGTGTTTGTTCTGATGCTCTTAAGGTGAATAGACTTTTAAGAGATCTCTGCCCGGATATTGCAGAGAAGGTGGCTAAGTTTCTCTGTTTGGCTTTAAAGCTGCGCCAAAGGTTCTTTTAGAATTCTTATATATGTGCTTTTAACTGGTTTTAAATGTATAAATGGTTCTGATAATTTATGCCAATAAAGGCTCACTTGACTTGACTTAACTTGACATTTCCGTGGTCATGTGGCCGGCGTGACTAAACACCAAGGCGCACGGAACGCTGTTACCTTCCCACTGAAGTGGTACCTATTTATCTACTTGCAATTTCTTGCTTTCGAACTGCTAGGTTGGCAGGAGCTGGAAATAGAGACGGGAGCTCACTCCGTCATGCGGCACACTCGGGTCTCGAACTGCTGAACTACCGACCTTCCACAGCCTGCAGTTCAGCATCTTAACCACTTGAGCCACCGCAGCTCCTTAGTGGTTAAGTGCGCGGATTCTAATCTGGGAGAACCGGTTTCGATTCCCCACTCCTCCACTTGCACCCGCTGGATGACCTTGGGCAAGCCCTCGTTCTGTCAGAGCTGTTCTCTCAAGGACAGTTCTGGAAAGAGCTCTCTCAGCCCCACCTACCTCACAGGGAGTCTGTTGTGGGGAAGGGAAGGGAAAGGAAAGGAGATTGTAAGACACTCTGAGACTCTGAGTGAAGGGCGGGGTATAAATCCAATCTCCTCTTCTTCTACTCTTCCCTTCTTCTCCCCACAACAGACACCCTGTGAGGTAGTTAGGGCTGAGAGAGCCCAGAGAGGACTGTGACTGACCCAAGGTCACCCAGCTGGTTTCATGCGGAGGAGTGGGGAATCAAACCCGGTTCTCCAGATTAGAGTCCACCACTCTTAACCGCTACACCACACTGGCAAATAACCCTGGGCAGCTACCATACTGAGCTTGGTGGATGTTTGATCTGATTCAGTATAAGCAGGGGTCATTTCCTGCAGGAGCGCACAGGAGCGGAGCTCCGGCAGTAAGGAGCCCAGGGGGCGGGCACATGCAACAAGCCCCACCCCCTGCTCCCAGCAGCCCTCAGTCAGATCAAGAAGCAGCCAGGTAAGTTGCAGAGCCCTCCCCCCTGGCCCCCAAGTGCAAAACAGTCCAGTGGCACCTTTAAGACCAAGTTTTATTCAGGTACAAGTTCTCCCTCCTCTGCGAGGACAGATCTGCATGTCTCCCCCCCCCCCAATAGCTAGCAATCCAAAACAGTCCAGTGGAGCCTGAGTGGTGGGTGTTGCCTTCTGACACACTTTCAGTGATGTCAGGGGGTGTGGCATATGCAAATAAGTTATGCCAATGAGCTCCTGGACCTCTTTTTCTACGAAATGACCCCTGAGTATAAGGCCATTTGGGTTGTACTATAACCATGCCTCCAACTCTGACTTAACAAAAGAAAGTCACTGGGCCATCACTGGACTCTAACTTCGTTCTACTGCTGACCACCTCGGCCACCAAAAGTTAGACTGGATTAGCTTCCCTCCCTCCCTGAAGTTCCTTTGCGGCCCGACGTCTATCTGACGTAGCTCGGTCTGTTTACCAGCAGCCACCTCATTCCAGGCCAGCTGTCCCCGGATTCTATTTCTGCGGGGATGAGTTCGGTCCTAATAATAAACCAACCACAGGCCGAAGCTCTGAGAAGAGAGACGAAAATTCGCACGGCTGTATCTCATTGCGCCCGTTCGGGAAACTGAGGGACCGAAACGGCAAGTCTGTGCGCTGAGTTAAATGCATTTTTAGGTCGCCTCATCAGGAAGTAAATATTTCCCCCTGGGCAGGGTCTGTGAGGAGCACGCGCATAAAAGCCCAACGGCTTCCCAAGGCAGGGCAAAGCAAGCCTCAGCCAACACAGACGGGACTCCACGAGGCCTGGAACCACTTGGAGGAGGACCACCACACCTTCTCGCCGCCCCCCCCCGCAAGCCCAAGATGTTGTGCCGCTTGCATCTGACCGCGCCACGCAGCCCTTTGAGCAGCCGCACCCTGTGGCCCAGCCCGGGCTCACTGTTTGAGGAACTGGAGCGAGAGATGGATGCCATCTGGGAGCGGCTGAGGAGCAACTGGCCGTCTGCGACGAGCAGCCACGAGACGGCCCGTCGGACAGATGCGGAGAGCCCCGCCGGACGGTTTGCGGTGACCCAAGACATGGCTGGATTCGACCCCAAGGAGTTAGTGGTCAAACTGGTTGGGGAGAAGCTGGTGCTCACGGGGAAGAAGGCCACGCAGACACCCAACGGCCCCTTCCGCTATGAGCTGTTCCGGAGGGAATGGGATGTGCCCGAGAACGTGGACCGCGAACATCTAACCTGCTCGATTTCTAGTGAGGGGCAGCTGCGCATTGAAGCCCCTTCCGTGGCGTCAGAACCCGCCATGAGAACAGTGCCCATTGACGTCAGTCGGCTGGAGGACAGTGCCGGGGCCGAGTCAGGGGGCACAGAAGACCCCAGGGCCAAAGCTTGAGAGACTGAATGGGGGAAAAGACTTTTTAAACGTGACAAGAAAATGTAGCTTGAGACTACTGACTGATATGTTGTACCAATAAATATTATTTTAATAGGATGTTGTGTGTGTTTGCGGTGAATTCAGAGATGGAAAACAGGTAGGGAGGGGGATATATCTGGGATGTGAACAAATTCAGTTGGTGAAAGGCAGAATTTCTTCCATGGGGCGCAAGGGGAAGAATGTTAGCGTGCCATGAGAAAAATTAATGTCTCCTAGAAGTTCAGCACACTGACCTACAGAGGAAGCAGCCTGCTGCCTCTCGGGTTGATTTACTTGACCTGGCCACCCTCCGATCAGCCAGCCTTCGGTAATTTTGGCATGTCTTTGTATTGGATGGGAAAGGATCGTTCAATTTCTCCCAATGCAGAGATGCAGCACAGTGACTTTCTGTCCCAGAGGTTGTCTGTTGAATCTCTGCATGAGTATACTAATGTAAGAAAAAGCCTGCGGTTTCATATGTTGGTTACCGAAAATGCTGGTTCTGTTCCGACTCTGCCAAGAAGGGACAGGGAAATGTTTTCCCTCACAGCGCTAGAACTATGAACACCGCATGAAATTGCTTGGCAGAGAATTCAGGACAACTAAAAAGATGGGGTTCCCCCCCCCCCCAATGTGTAACTTTCTTATGGAGCTCCTGTCACATGGTAACAGTTACCAACCTCAATGGCTTTGGAAAAGATTTTGAAAATGCACAGATAAGTCTATTGATGGCTATTAAGCTCTATAACTAAATGGAACCTCCATGTACAGAGACAGTATCGTTGGAGCAGATTCTGGGAATAAAGAGAAGCAGTGTGGCGGTATGGTTAGACCCAGGTTCGAATCCCCATTCCACTGGGGGAATTTGCTGAGTGACCTTGGATAAAGTGGAAAGAGAGGAGAACGCCGAAGGCTTTTTTGGATCTCCATTATGGAGAAAGGTGAGGTAGAAATGAAGTAAATACCCACCAAGGGCAGGCTCGGAGGTGTCTGAGGTAATGAAGAAAACAGAATACTAGACTCAGCGTGTTGAAATTTGCCTGACAGGGCATGAAGGAAAAATTCACGGGTCCACTGCTTGTACAGATCTTTTCAAAATTAAGCCTTGTCTGTCTTTGTTTTCTCAGCTGGGCTTTTCAGGTTTTGAAACCTTTCCCTCGTTTGGCCGCTTGGGGGTGTTTGAGGGAAAGGCGGAGGGATTTTGCCTTCCGTGACTGTGCATATTTTGGGATCAGCTAAGGCATGACTGACTCAACCTTGGAAATGATGCAAGGCGCTGAAATGATCCAGCGTTGGCCTTCTTCCAGAGGGGGCGGGGCACCTGCGTTAATCTGCAGAGCCAAAATAATAAGACCGTAGGGACGCCATCTTCCAGGTGGGGCCTGGAGACCTCCCAGAATTACAGCTTATCTCCAGACAGCAGTTTCCCCTGGAGGAAATGGCTGCTTTGCAGGGCAGACTGTGTGGCATTATACCCCACTGAGACCCCGCACCTTGCCATACCCTCCCCAGCTCCACCTGTTCCCTAGATCTCCCTGGAGCTGGCAGCCCTTATCCTATTATCCATTTGATAAGCCTTTCTAAGTTGCCGCACAACCAGGGGTCATTTCCTGCAGGAGCGCACAGGAGCAGAGCTCCGGCAGTAAGGAGCCCAGGGGGGCGGGCACATGCAACAAGCCCCACCCCCTGCTCCCAGCAGCCCTCAGTCAGAGCCAGAAGCAGCCAGGTAAGTTGCAGAGGGGCCCCCCGGCCCGCCTTCAGGTACAAGCTCTCCCTCCTCTGTGAGGGCAGATCTGCATGTCGTCCCCCCCATAGCTAGCAATGCAAAACAGTCCAGTGGCACCTTTAAGACCAAGTTTTATTCAGGTACAAGCTCTCCCTCCTCTGTGAGGACAGATCTGCATAATCCCCTAGCATACCTAGCAATCCAAAACAGTCCAGTGGAGCCTGAGTGGTGGGTGTTGCTTTCTGACACGCTTCTGGTGACGTCAGGGGGCGTGGCATATGCAAATAAGTTATGCAAATGAGCTCCTGCACCTCTTTTTCTACGAAATGACCCCTGTGCACAACTTATTGTTGTTTTATTAAAGATTATTATAGGGTTGGTTGCTAACTCTATATTGGGAGGTTCCTGGAAATATGGGGCAGAGGATGGGGACAATAGAGTTGGGGAGGGGACGCAACTCAGCAGGGATATGATGAAGCCGAGTCGACCCTCTGAAGCTGCCATTTTCTCCAGGAAAACTGATCTCTGTAGCTTGAAGAATCATAGAGTTGGAAGGGACCTCCATGGTCATCTAGTCCAACCCCTTGCACAATGCAGGAAATTCACAAAAAACTTTTCCCCCCCCCACGCCCCCAGAGTGAACTAAGCTCTGAGTTTTAGGTGATAATGGTTATCATTATCATATCAGAGCAGTTGTAGTTCTAGGAGAACTCCAGGTCCCAACACATTTACATTTTAACCCCTCCTGTTCCAGCTCTGGCCTGGTAAATTCCTGAGGATTTGAGGATGGTACCAGAAAAGGACAGGGATCTCACTGGGGTCATAGAGTCCACACTACAAAGTTGCCCTTTTTGTCCAGGAGGACGGATCTCTGTAGTCTGGAAATCAGTTGTAATTCTGGGACAACTCCAAGCCGCATCTGGAAGTTAGTAACCCTAACCACCCTTCCATACGGTCCCATGATGGCTGAACAGAACCTCCAGATGAAGGGGCAGTCTACCAATAAATACCAGTGGCTGAGGGGACAACAGCAGAGGGAGGTTTGGCTGCACTGGCCCTCCTAACAGGCTTTTCAGTGTTTTTGGTTGGCCACTGTGGGAAACAGGATGCCGAGTGAGAGTTGCCTGTGGTGTCATAATGTGTCAGACTAGTACATAAGGTTGCTAACTCCAGGTTGGGAAATTCCTGCAGATCTGAGCGTGTAGCGGGGTATAATGCTATACGGGTGGCCCTCCAAAGCAGCTTTTTTTTTCCATTGGAAGAGATCTCTGTAGTCTGGAGCTCAGTTTTAACTCCAGGACACCTCCAGGCCCTACCTGGAGGCTGGCAAGGCAGCGCTGAGAGAGCTGCGTTCCAATTCCTACTCTGACATGAAGCTCACTGAATAACTTCTTTGGTCCAGGCCTCGTTTCTCTCAGCCTAACATACCTCACAGGACCGTTGTTAGGATACTCAGTTTTAACTCCAGGACACCTCCAAGCCCTACCTGGAGGCTGGCAAGGCAGCGCTGAGAGAGCTGCGTTCCAATTCCTACTCTGACATGAAGCTCACTGAAAAACTTCTTTGGCCCAGGCCTAGTTTCTCTCAGCCTAACATACCTCACAGGACCGTTGTTAGGATAGAAGAAGGAGATTAGATTTATACCCCGCCCTTCACTACCCAAAGGAGTCTCAGAGTGGCTTACAAACTTCTTTCCAAGGACTTCCTTTTATCTGTTCTAACTCGACTTTAACCTCTCTTCATAGGGAAAGTGTTCCAACCCTTTTATCATTCTAGTTGCCGTTTTCTGCACTTTTCCCAATGCTATAATATCCTTTTTGAGGTGTGGTGACCAAAACATGAATGCAGGCTTTAGAAATCCGCTACCACCAGCTGCGAGAGGGCAACTCCGCTGTTATCTGATTTCCCTTGTCCCCTGACCGTGAATAATCAGATTATTCTGGAAGCTGCTAGAGAATACACGTTATTTCCTGCTTTCTCTGCGCTCGTGGTTCAGTGAGAGGCGGAGGGGCCTTTCAGGTCTTCCCCGAAGCAGAAGGGTGTCCGGGGTCTTCCTCGATCCTTCCAGAACGGCCTCCTCCTTTCCAGCCGCGCTGGGAAAACTCCAGGCCCGGCGGAGCGCCTGTTACAGGCCGTTGCGTCATCTTTGACACGGTGCCGAGGTCTTCCCCTCAGCTGTTTGTGGGCGGGGTGACTGAGGGAGTTATAAAAGGCCGGCACAGTTTCTGAGCCAGCCAGAAAGGCGAGACGAGACGCAAGTGAAGGATTTTTCCCCTCAGCAGTGCCGCATCGCCATGGCGAGCTACAGCCGTCTCTTGCTGCGGATGCTCCCCCTGCGTCGGTGGCCGTTGCACGGCCTGGGCCCTGTCTGGCTCAGCGATCCCCAGCCGGCCTGCAGGGTCCTGTGGCCGTCCAGCCACAACCTCATGGACCGAGTCGTGGCCGACGTAGAGAGGCAGATGCAAGACATGGAGAAGATGACCCGGGCCTTCTTCCAGGCCTCCCCGCTTCTGACGTGGGAGCGTGAGAGCCAGAGGGAGCCACGCGAGGAGAGTGCCACGGAGGCTGCTGTGAAGGGGCAACCAGACGGGAAGCACTCCTTCTCCGTGGACGTGACAGGCTTTTCCCCAGAGGAGATGACGGTGAAGCTGGACGGCAGAAAAGTCACGGTGACTGCCAAGCGCCAGAGGGAGAGCCAAAGCGAGGGGGGCAGCTACTGGCAAGAACACCAAGAGCTGCGGCGGGAGACCCTCCTTCCGCTCGACGTGGACCTCCAGGCCGTCTCGTGCTCTTTGACCCCGGACGGGCAGCTGTGCATCGAGGCACCACGCTTGGCTTCTTCTGCGACCACGGAGAAGGCCATCCCGATTGATGTCCAGTCTGAGGCACAAAAGGGGCCCAGTGGGGAAGAGAAAGAGCTGGGGGGCAGCGATGGGGCCAAGGCAAAGGAGACCTGAAATCCGCCCCGATAACCGCAGAACACCCTCCCACTGCATGGAAAACCAACGCCGCAGTGGCAGAAGACAACTGTAGACAAGACTTCACATGCCCTGGGGGACTTGGTTTCTGACCTGTCAGCCGTTTGGCCTCTATTCCTTAACCAAGGCTAGGCCCGGCCCATAATGAATTCTTGCCCTTTGTGCAATAAACCGTTTATTTTTCCAGAATAATCTGCATGTGGTTGGATTTTTGTGTGTGGAGCTTTTTTCTCCAATTGGAATCGGGGGCGGGAGGTGGGGGGTGGGAGTGGAAGACCCAGAGAAAATGTGTGTGTTAAGAGGTGGGCGGGATGGAATTTACCGGACTGGATGAATGGGAGGCTGTACTTTATAACTGCTGTGGAGTCCTGGAAGCGGTTCATTGGATAGTAGCCTACCTCACAGGGTCGTCGTGAGGCTTAAACGGAAGAGAGCAGCTGTGCGCATTGTCCTGAGCGCCCCAGGGGACCCATGCTCTGATCCCATCCTGTAATGTGCCTTATACCATCAGTGTAATGCGCCTTATGCAAAGCTGCCTTTGAAAACCATCCGGAAACTTCAGCTGGACTAAAACACAGCAGCCAGATTATTTTTATGGACTTGATCTGGGGATCGCATCAGCCCTGTGTGGAAAGGTCTGTGCTGAGAGCCAGTTTGGTGTAGTGGTTAAGTGTGCGGACTCTCATCTGGGAGAACCGGGTTTGATTCCCCACTCCTCCACTTGCACCTCGCTGGATGACCTTGGGCCATAGTTCTGTCAGAGCTGTTCTCTCAAGGGTAGTCCTCGAGAGAGCTCTCTCAGCCCCACCTACTTCACAGGGTGTCTGTTGTGGGGAGGGGAAGGGAAGGGAGTTTGTAAACCGTTCTAAGACACCTTTGGGTAGTGAAGGGCGGGGTATAAATCCAATCTCTTCTCTTCTTCTTCATCTGTTTCCAGGCAAGATTCAAAGCACTGCTTTATTCCGGGGCTTGGGACTGGACCAGTATTCTCTCTAAGCTGAGTTAGTGTGAGCTAGCTCACAGTTTTTTAGCCTCCAGCTCACAGATTTTTGTCTTGGCTCAGGAAGGAGGGCTCCAAGAGCAAACTAATTGAGGCGGCAGCCAAATCGCTCGGTCAAAACTTTAATGCCACGAGCTCCCAAAGTAGAATTTTTGCTCACGAGACTCCACAGCTTAGAGGGAGCACTGGACTGGACTACCTGAAGGGCCGCCTTGCTCCCAAAATGTCCAGCGTCCCAGCTAGGATCTTCCTCACAAGCCCTCCTCTTTGCCCCCCTGGGCTGGAGAGGTGAGGTGGGTGGCAACCAGAGACAGGGCCTTATCGGTGGTGGCACTGGACCTTTGGAATGCTCTCGCCCTGGAGGCCCACCTGGCACCTACTTCACTTCAGACCACAACATCCCTTTTGACCCTGTCAAGGTTTTATGCCTTTTAGCCATTTCATGGTCTGCTCCTGGGTTAAGGACAGTTCTATCTTTATCGTTTGGCTTCTGGGTGTTTATTTTATGCCATTTTAATGCCTTATCTTCTTCTTATGGTCATCCGGCAGCCTTCCGTTGGCTATCCCATCACAGGGCGGCCCACCTGGCATTGACCAGAGCCTGGGCCTTGTCCTTCATGGCTCCGACTCTGTGGAACAGGCTTCCTGAAGGGGTGAGGGGGCTCTTTCCTTGGAGAATGTCAGGAGTTGCTGCAAGGCCTGCCTGTTTGCCGGGGAAATTGAATCGGCTTGCATCTTTTTAAGGGGACGGGGGGGAGAGAGATTTGGGGTTTGCTGTTTTCTTTTGGGTTTTAGCTGTGGATGTTTTTACCTATTATTTTAAGCCACCTTGAACCACAAGAAAAGGCAGGATATGATTTTAAAAAAACGAAATAGTACATCTCAATGGCTGTGCTTTGAATGGTTTTGTGTTAGTTGTAAAGGCACTTCGAGCAGGTCTCTGGGAGGCAGTGTCTAAATTTTCCAAAGAAGTAAAGAAGAAGAGATTGGATTTATATCCGCACCCTTCGCTACCTGAAGGAGTCTCAGAGCGGCTTACAATCTCCTTTCCCTCCCCCTCTCCGCAACAGATACCGTGGGAGGCCAGTGGGGCTGAGAGGGCTCTCTCGAGAACTGCCCTTGAGAGAACAGCTCTGAGAGAACTTCTGACTGACCCAAGGTCACCCCAGCAGCTGCCTGTGGAGGAGTGGGGAACCTAACCCGGTTCTCCCATACTAGAGTCCAGGCTCCTAACCACTACACCAAACTGGCTGTACACCAAACAGGAACACTGCCTACAGAAGAGGGGGCGTCCAGTCAACTTTCACTCTCCATCCCCCTTTCTTCCGTGCAGCTTCCTGGATAATGGGAATAGGGGCAGAGAAATGGCCCCAATCCAGCTACTTCCAAACATACCAGGGGAAAGGAAGCATTTGCCATAGGGAGGTTTGTTTTCCAGGGCACTCCTGTGACACTCCCACCCCATGCTCTGCAACGTGAGTAGGAAGGTTACTCAAACTACCTTTCCACCAGTGTTCCCTCTAAGCTGAGTTAGTGTGAGCTAGCTCACAGTTTTTTAGCCTCCGGCTCACACATTTTTGTCTTAGCTCAGGAAGGAGGGCTCCGGAGCAAACTAATGTATGCAGCAGACAAATCGCTCGCTCACAACTTTAATGCCAGTAGCTCACAAAGCAGAATTTTTGCTCACAAGACTCCACACCTTAGAGGGAACATTGCTTCCACCTCTATAAAATAATGCAGCCCCCCCCCCCCTTATAGAACACACCACCGTCTCTCTGGGAGTGAAAAGACAGAGGACTAAGAGACGGCAAATCTGTTGAGAGGTGTCGATTTATTAGAGGTGGAGGGAGACGTTGTCGGTTCACATTTTCTATCGGACAGAAGGCCAACTCCCCCCCTCCCCCCCCCCATCTTAGAACAGGGGCGGGATGCAACTGTGCAATCTTGGCAGGCAGGGGTTCCGGGGGGGTGGGGGTGGAGGGGACCAACTGGATTTAGAACCTCGGCAGTGTGACTTTCTACAGGGGGGCAACGGGCCCACTCCAACAGCATGTTGTGCGGAAAAGGGGGGGGGAACGGTTCATCTTGCAGGATGGGGAGGCAACCAAAGACAAAAGCGGGAACCACCTCCAGCATTAATCTATTTGCTCCTGTACGGCAGGGGCCTTGTAAGAGAACGTACCGAAAAACAACCCTCCTCCCCGAAAAAGGTATTGACGGGCGCTGTTAGTCAGCCCTGAGTTGCCCTAGTAGCCCCGAACAGCCCCCAAAGCTCCCCAGGATGAAAGCCAAATGCAACCACCAGCCTCTAACGTCTTGCCTCTCCCTCCCCCAGCAGCCACTGGCTTCTCCTCCTTTTACGTCTCCCCGCTGGGCTCGATTCTCGCAACACTCTTCTCTTTCTCTCTCTCCACGCAGGGGATTAACAAAGGACAAGTTGAGCAGAAATAAGAAGGGAGGGGGGGTTGGGGAAGGTAGGGAAGAGGAAATGAGACACCTGCCCCCACGCCCCAAAAGATTGTGCAGCATGTCCAAGGTGCGGAGAGGCACGTGGGTCCAGTTTTCTTGCTCCCTCCCCCCAAATATCCCCACTAGGCCTTTTCCCAACCCCTTGGCTTTCCACCCAGCGGCCACACGATGCTGGGCCTTCACTGTCACCAGGAGGGGACCGCTCCGGTGGAACGGTTCCAGTGGCATTCCGGGGTGGAGGAAGTAAAGGCCCTGCGCAACCCGTCCCCAGCCAGCCTAACAGTCCGAGCTGTGTAGTGATCGTCGAGGGCCAGATACAGGTAGAAAGGGGGGGGTGGTCTCAGGGCCTTGCTCGCCAAAGTGCGCTCGCCGGGCAATAGCGCTAGTTCCTGGCCGCTATGACGACCGACAAGGCCACGCCGCCCAGGGCCACGGCGGTGGCACCGAACAGCCACTTCCAAGGAATCGCCTGGGAGAAAGAGAGGAAGATAAAAACAGGCTTCAGTAACGGGAGGCGGACGGTTGGGAGACAGGAAGCACAAAATGCGTTCACGTTTGTTTCCCAATTTAAAAAATTCATAAAATGGATGGTATGCCCCGGTTTCAAATACTATGGATCAGTGTTCCCTCTAAGCTGAGTTAGTGTGAGCTAGCTCACGAACAGCCACTTCCAAGGAATCGCCTGGGAGAAAGAGAGGAAGATAAAAACAGGCTTCAGTAACGGGAGGCGGACGGTTGGGGAGACAGGAAGCACAAAATGCGTCCACGTTTGTTTCCCAATTTTAAAAAATTCATAAAATGGACGGTATGCCCCGGTTTCAAATACTATGGATGGTTCTGACCTGGAACTGGGGATGCATAGCAGTGAAGGGAGTGGGCTCTGATCCCAGAAGCTGTCGGTTGGGATCTCGCCTCCGCCACAAACTTGCAAGGTGGCCTTGGACACATCACTTAACCCCCCGTCCACCCCACAATCCGCCATATGAAGATAACGTCACCGGCCGAACTTTACAGGGATGTTATGAATACAAGACAACACATGGAAAGTACTCTTGAAAACACACACATATATATATATACACACACATGCCAGGCAGTGTTCCCTCTAAGCTGAGTTAGTGTGAGCTAGCTCAGAGTTTTTTTAGCATCCGGCTCACACATTTTTGTCTTCGCTCAGGAAGGATGGCTCCAGAGCAGTGTTCCCTCTAAGGTTAGTGTGCGCTAGCTCACAATTTTTTAGCCTCCGGCTCAGACATTTTTGTCTTCGCTCAGGAAGGATGGCTACAGAGCAAACTAATTTACGCAGTAGCCAAAATCACTCGCTCACAACTTTAAAGCCAGTAGCTCACAAAGTAGAATTTTTGCTCACAAGATGCCACAGCTTAGAGGGAGCACTGCTCCAGAGCAAACTAATTTATGCAGTAGTCAAATTGCTGGCTCACAACTTTAATGCCAGTAGCTCACAAAGCAGAATTTTTGCTCACAAGACTCCACAGCTTAGAGGGATGCCAGGTATGAATGGCTGCCCTCAGTTCAAGAAGGCAGAGTGGATCAAACAGCAAACGAAACGAGCATAAAGGGTTGGGGAACCTTTTTTTAGCAGTAAAAGCAGAGGCGTTTGGGGGGCGGTTAGTTCAGGGAACAACAGAGGGCTACAGAAAAAGCTGGTGTGGAACAGACACATGACGGGTAATATAAAAGCAGAAGAGTCGTGATGCTAAAAAACTGAGCTCATCCAACTCCCTTTGTTTCGTCTCCCCCTCTAGTTTAAGGCAGAATCTAAATTGTGCGCTCCCTGGGGACAGCCCCCCCCCTTCTCCTTTTTCCTTAAGAGCACCTCTGATGACTCCACAGGAACACGATGCTAGGAGCCAAAGAGCTCGTTCAAACGGAGCTGTGAAATTTAACCCTCCCCCCACGCACCCTCCCAATGCTTTCCAGCCCTCGTCCGAGTCCTCACAACGGAGCACCGTGCGGGACACGAACCCGGCTACCTTCAGCTTCAAGGGCAGCCCTCTAAAAAGCACGGCCGTCTTCTCGGAAGGGCCGCAGGAACTTCCAAAACTTTTGGTCCCTGAGCGCCTGGAGTGTTTGTGAACATGCCGTGCCTTTGGGCCAGGTTAAATAACGACATCGGCCCCCCCCCCCCCCAGTGAAACGCACGACTCAGTGAAAAAGTCCTTCCCTCTCCGGGGTCCCCGTGGGACATGACTCCTTCTCTCCACCTACCCGGGAGGACTTATCTTTACACTTAGCAGGGGGTCCGCTGGAACCAGCAGTCCCCAGCATCTTGCGGTACATCTCAGTCTCCACGCTCTTTTGGTCGGCGTGCTTCTTTGCCAGCTTTGAGAGCTCCATGTGGATGGTCTGGGGGCCAACAGAAGACAGGGAGACGTCACCAACTCTCCAAGCTAGTGTTTCGGGGAAGACTTGTTTTTTTAAAAAAAGAAACACACCACCTTAGGAGGCTCTCCATATTCCAGGCCGTGTTCCCTCTAAGCTGAGTTAGTGTGAGCTAGCTCCCAGGTTTTTTTAGCCTCCGGCTCACGCATTTTTGTCTCGGCTCGGGAAGGACAGCTCCACAGCAAACTGATCGAGGGGGCCGCCAAACCGCTCGCTCGCAACTGTAATGCCAGTCGCTCACAAAGTAGAATTTTTGCTCACAAGACTCCACAGCTTAGAGGGAGCATCGATTTCCTGGTACTCTGTACCTGGCCAGGATCCTTTACGTTCGGAGCTGGGGGGGGGGCTGCTGAAGAAGAGAAGAGATTGGATTTATACCCCGCCCTTCACTACCCGAAGGAGTCTCAGAGCGGCCTACAAACTCCTTTCCCTCCCACTCCCCACAACAGACACCCTGTGAGGTAGGTGGGGCTGAAAGAGAGCTTCAACAGAAACTGCTCTTGAGAGAACAGCTCTGAGAGAACTTATGACTGACCCAAGGTCACCCAGCAGCTGCAAGTGGAGGAGTGGGGAATCAAACCCGGTTCTCCCAGATTAGAGTCCGCACTCCTAATCACGACACCAAACTGGCTCTCAGGGAACACACTGCCTTAAAAGGCTCTTAGACGTCTCTGACCACACATGACCTCTGGGTCTAATATCTGCCTTGTGGGACAAATCGGTTACGGAAGCGGGGCAGGTTTCCAGATAAGTCCTTGGTGACTGCCATCAGTCAAGCCAGCCTTCAGACCTTGAACCCCCAGATCCAGCCCAAACGGGGCAGTTCTGCAAGGCACTCAGGCTAGAACTTGGGCAGGTTTCTGGGGGGGACGGGGGGGGACACTGCTACGACAGCTACTAGCTTTAAGAGAAAAGCGGTCTGGGACTGGACAGATTCAACAAGTACAGGTCTATCAATGGCTATGACCAATGAGGGTCCGATAAAAATTCACTGTTCAGAGGCAGTCTATCTGTAAGTGCCCGGTACTGGGGGGGAATGGAAAAAGGCCTCCATTTTTCTGGGATTGCGTGAGAGGTCACTGTGGGAAGAAAAGTGTCGGGCCGAGTGCAACTTCTAGTATGCTTGTAAGTCTGTGTTTGAAAGGCCCTGCCGGGTCAGACCAGAAGAGTCCAGAGAGCCCAGCTTCTTGTTTCCCGCAGCAGCCGGTGAGAAGCTTCCAAGAAGCAAAGAAGTCGAGCGCAGAGGGAAAAAGCCATCTCTGAACGGACGTCCCCACCAGTGTTCCCTCTAAGCTGAGTGAGTGTGAGCTAGCTCACAGTTCTTTAGCCTCCAGCTCACAGATTTTTGTCTTGGCTCAGGAAGAAGGGCTCAAGGGCAAAAACTAACTTATGCAGTAGCCCAATCGCCCGCTCACAACTTTAATGCCGGTAGCTCACAAAGTGGAATGTCCGTGCACGAGACTCCACAGCTTAGAGGGAGCATTGGTCCCCATCCCAATAACTGATTCAACAAGTACAGGTCTATCAATGGCTATGACCAATGAGGGTCCAATAAAAATTCACTGTTCAGAGGCAGTCTATCTGTAAGTGCCCGGTACTGGGGGGGAATGGAAAAAGGCCTCCATTTTTCTGGGATTGCGTGAGAGGTCACTGTGGGAAGAAAAGTGTCGGGCCGAGTGCAACTTCTAGTATGCTTGTAAGTCTGTGTTTGAAAGGCCCTGCCGGGTCAGACCAGAAGAGTCCAGAGAGCCCAGCTTCTTGTTTCCCGCAGCAGCCGGTGAGAAGCTTCCAAGAAGCAAAGAAGTCGAGCGTAGAGGAAAAAAGCCATCTCTGAACGGACGTCCCCACCAGTGTTCCCTCTAAGCTGAGTGAGTGTGAGCTAGCTCACAGTTCTTTAGCCTCCAGCTCACAGATTTTTGTCTTGGCTCAGGAAGAAGGGCTCAAGGGCAAAAACTAACTTATGCAGTAGCCCAATCGCCCGCTCACAACTTTAATGCCGGTAGCTCACAAAGTGGAATGTCCGTGCACGAGACTCCACAGCTTAGAGGGAGCATTGGTCCCCATCCCAATAACTGGCATGCAGAGGCAGATGGAACACAAAAGCACCATTGGACTACCACGGCTAGTAGCGTTTGTTTAACCCTTAAAAAAATCCTCTAAGCCGGTGGCCGTCACCGCTTCCTGTGGCAGGGAGTTCCAAAAGTTAAGAAGAGGAAGAAGAGAAGAGATTGGATTTATACCCTGCCCTTCACTCGGAGTCTCAGAGCAGCTTACAACCTCCTTTCCCTTCCCCACAACAGACACCCTGTGAGGTGGGTGGGGCTGAGAGAGCTCTGAGAGAACTGCCCTTGAGGGAACAGCTCTGACAGAACTATGGCTTGCCCAAGGTCATCCAGCCGCTGCGAGCGGAGGAGTGGGAAATCAAACCCGGTTCTCCCAGATTAGAGTCCGCGCACTTAACCACTACACCAAACTGGCTCTAACTAACTAACTCTAACTAAATAACCACTACACCAAACTGGCTTAACTAAGGGCTGTGTGACATAGCCCTCCTTTTCTGATCAGGATTATCAGGTCTAGTGGAAATTCACATCCTCCAGGGCAAGTACAGTTGCCACCTGGCATCCTGAGGGGTCCACCACCCTTTCTGAGCCTGCGAGCAACCTCTGAAATTCTGACACGGCCTGGTGGATGAGGCCACAAAATGGCTGCTGTGACTTACCTTCAGTCACACAGCGAAGATCCTCGTGTTGTGGTGGCAGCGGCTGCCAAAGCAATATTTTTTTAAAATCTGCACAGCCGATCAAATCCCCAACGGCCCATCAGAAGCCTTGCTGGGCAAGAACCCCACCCGCCATTGCCCATTCCTTACAGACATTTCGTGGGCAACAAGAACAGTGTTACTGGGTGCTGTGGCGCCCACGGGCACCGTGTTGGAGACCTCTGCCCTAGCTCACCACCTGCTACAGGCGCGAGATCTCCTTTGCTTACCTTGTTGGATGGCTCCAGCTTCAACGCAGCTTTCAAGATAGGGATGGCCTCACTGTACTCCCCTTGCTGAGCCAGGACCTAGGAGGGAAGCAGGCAAAAACACAACTGCAGGTGGCGCCACTGAGCGGCTGGGTGGACACGCTCCAGGAGGAACAAGAACCCAGGAACAAAAGGTGGACTCTATTAGTTGGTCCAATAAAAGCCATTACATGGATTTTGTTCTTGTACATCTGTACAACTGTTTCTACAAAAGGAAATACTACTTTACACGGAGAGTAATTAAAATGTGGAATTCACTGCCAGAGAATGCCGTGATGGCCACAGTAATAAACAGACTTAAAAAGGGATTAGATAGACTTATCCTCCATGAATCTATCAATGGCTACTAGTCATTCTGAACTGAGGGGAACCTCCACATTCAGAGGCACTAATCCTCTGGATCCCAAAGCAAGGAGGCAACATCAGGGGAAGGCCTCGGCCTCTATGCCCTGTTGTTGGCTGTTCAGAGGAACTGGTTGGCCACTGTGTGAGACAGGATGCTGGACTAGAGGGACCAACAGTCTGATCCAGCAGGACTCTCCCTACATTCTTATGAAGGCCTCGGCCTCTCTGCCCTGTTGTTGGACCTCCAGAGGAGCTGGCTGGCCACTGTGTGAGACAGGATGCTGGACTAGAGGAACTATTGGTCTTGATCCAGCAGGACTCTCAATGTTCCCTCTAATCTGTAGAGTCTTGTGAGCAAAAATTCTACTTTGTGAGTTACTAGCATTAAAGTTGTGAGCAAGCGATTGGGCTACTGCATAAATTAGTTTGCTCTGGAGCCATCCTTCCTGAGCTGAGACAAAAATGTGTGAGCCGGAGACTAAAAAACTGTGAGCTAGCTCACACTAACTCAGTTTAGAGGGAACACTGCGTCTCCTTATGTTCTTATGAAGGCCTCAGCCTCTATGCCCTGTTCTTGGCTGTCCAGAGATGCTGGTTGGCCCTTGTGTGAGGCAGGATGCTGCACTAGATGCACCACTGGTCTGATCCAGCAGGGCTCTTACTGAAGTTCTTACTTAATGTTATGGGGCCATTGCACAGATTTCAACAAGATAAAATAGCACTGCAATAATATTAATAACACAGCATGTACTGAAATGCAAGGCTAGGGTGTTTTCCCACAGGTATGAAATCAAAAAGATTAGGTCACCTTCCATTCACATGCAAGTTACAGTTATGCCCCCAAACAACAGTTTTTGTGTATATCTTTTTCAAGGAGGCCACCTTCCTTTCGAGTAAACACAGGAATAATAAATATGAAAGTACCTGTACAAACATGCCTAAAAATTCATATCTGGGGGCTGGTCCGAGGAAGAGTCTCTTCCATGGCGGGACGTTTGTCCCATAGCTAGCATCGGTGGGTTTTGCTTTTCGATTGTCAGTTTCAGAAGCGAAGCCAAAAGGCCTTTTTTTTTTAAGTTTTCCCTAGGCTAAGTTTCTGTTTTCTGTTGTGAGCCAGCTTGCCCACCCACCCACAAATATATAAATATATTTGTCTCATTAAATTTTAGCTGTGATCTTAGTAATCGTAAGATTTTTATGTAATCATTATGGTGATTTTTATGCATCTCACGTGGACGCCTATGGCTGACAGGCTAGGCAATTTACCTTGTAAATAAAGTCATTATTAATAAGAATATATCATCATCATCATTACATTATGATTATTTCATTATTATCCATTATTATTACCCATTATAGGTAAAGGGTAAAGGTAAAGGTTTCCCTTGCTCGAAAGCCAGCTGAATCCAACTCTAGGGTTCTGGTGCTCATCTCCGTTTCCAAGCCGAAGAGCCAGCGCTGTCCGAAGACTTCCATGGTCATGTGGCCGGCATGACTAGACGCCGAGGCGCACGGAACGCTGTCACCTTCCCACTGAAGCAGCACTCGCAATTTCTTGCTTTCGAACTGCTAGGCTGGCAGGAGCTGGGACCAGAGATGGGAGCTCGGCCCTCGGGTATCGAACTGCTGAACTAATGACTTTCCAGCCTGCAGTTCAGCATCTTAACCACTGAGCCACCGCAGCTCTTTATTAATCATTATAATCATTATTAATTATTATCTATCCATAATTATTAATCATTAATCTTCATTAATAAGAATACATTGTGTGCCAAGTTGTTCAGACACTTCACCTTCACGTCCAGCAGCTCGGCCTCCTCCTCGGGGCTGAACTCGACTGCAGCAAGCAAAGGGAGATGTCACAGCCTGGAATGGGGTGGTGGTGGAGGGGGGCTCTTTGCTAGGGGCAGCTTCAATAATCCTCTACTTCTGCTTTATGAGGAAAATGCAGCCCCTTCAGGTCAAATCCCCACCGGCCCAAATCTAGCGGTTGAGAGAAGCTGAGGGGAGAGGGGGATTTCACACCTAGCAGGGAACCGGGATGCAAGAAAACCTTTTCTAAAATGGAAACTGAGCCTCTCATCCTCAGATGCTCGGCCAGACTCACTTCCCCCAAGCCAAGGTTTCCAGTGCCAAAGCAATGTTTTTAAATATCTGCACAGCCTATTAAATCTCCAGTGGCCGAAAACCTTTTCTAAAATGGAAACCGAGCATCTCACCCTCAGATGCTCGGCCAACTTCCCCCAACCCAAGGTTTCCTGTACCAAAACAATGTTTTTAAACATCTGCACAGCCTATTAAATCTCCAGTGGCCAATCAGAAGTCATGCTGGACAAAAGTCCTACCTGGCCCTTGCCACTTTCTAAAAGCAGTTGGCTCGTGCCAGGGAAAGTGTCCAGCAGGAGCCGTGGTGCCCATGGGAACCACGTTGGGGACCCCTGGCCTAACTGATACTGCCTCTGAGAATCCCATCCTCCACTTTGTCCGACCAATCAGGATCTGGTTCCTGGGCAGGGGGCACCCTTCTGGGATTCCCCCCAGACATCCCTGCGGTAACCTGAAGTCCATCCGACAACTTTTCAGCCCCTCCTGCTCATACTGCCTACCTAAGGAGATGAATAAATAAATAACTTATGGAACTCATGCCTTCAGGGTGGTGTCACCAACCATATATCAGCAGAAAGAGAGAGGGCATCGATCCTACATAAGAGTCCCCTGATCCACGAAGCCTAGAGCAGCAGATGTGTCCAATATGAGGGTTTAGTTTTTCCTCAGCAGGACAGTCTGGGAATGACTGATGTACGTGAGAGACGGCATCTGTTAGCCAAACTCCGCCACCATTTCAAGAAGTGGTAGGAATCTGTAGGGTTTGGGGTATACTATCGGTGAGGGTGACAGCCCACACGAGCATCAACGTACATCTCTTCCGGACGACAACTTTCCTAGTCCTATTACATTGCTTATTAGATGTCTCATCCTATCGATTATGTTGACTCAGGCCTCGGTGGAATCTGCTTCGGTGAGAAAGGCAGACTACAAAGAGCATAAACGCGCAAGCGGGCACCGGGTACCTTTGGAACTGGAGCCGATGACCTTCAGGGCAGTGTCGTAGGAGTTGATGGCCAGCACGTAATCCGCTCGCTGGTAGTGGAAGTTGCCGCGTTCCCTCTTGCGGTTGGCCAGCTCCACCTTCTCCGTCCCGCTGAGCAGCTCCAAGTCAGGGGCGTCCCGCGCTGCCAGCAGCTCCACTTCGAGGGTGAGGGCCGCATCCGGAGGGATGTCCGAGCTCCTGCTCAAGCAGATCGAGAACGCGCCATCACCAAGGGAGTCACACCGACGGGCCGCCCAACCAGGTCTCCTGTTTCCGACGGGACCCAGCAATGGTCCCTCTAAGCTATGGAGTCTTGTGAGCAAAAATTCTACCTTGTGAGCAACTGACATTCAAGTTGGGAGCGAGCGATTGGGCTGCTGCATACATTAGTTTGCTCTGGAGCCATCCTTCCTGAGCCGAGACAAAAAATCTGTGCGCCGGAGGCTAAAAAACTGTGAGCTGGCTCACATTAGCTCAGCTTAGAGGGAACACTGGGGCCCAGCCCTGATGCTTCCCCAAAAGCCCTGGAGACCAAGCCCTGTGAGGAAAGGCTGAGGGACTTGGGAATGTTCAGTCTGGAGAAGAGGAGGATGAGGGGGGACATGATTGCCCTCTTTAAGTATTTGAAAGGCTCTCACTTGGGAGGAGGGCAGGGAGCTGTTCCTGTTGGCAGCAGAGGAGAGGACTGGCAATCATGGGCTTACATTAAGGGCAAGAAGGTACCGGCTGGATCTTAGGAAGTACTTTTTTTTTTACAGGAAGAGTCGTGCAGCAGCGGAATCAGCTGCCTGGGGAGGTGGTGGGCTCCCCCTCACTGGCCGTCTTCAAGCAGTGGCTGGACACACACCGGTCAGGGATGCTCTAGGCTGATCCTGCATTGAACAGGGGGTTGGGCTAGATGGCCTGCATGGCCCCTTCCAACTCGGTGATTCTATGATACTATGATGCTGGGTCTCTCACAAACTGGGTATGAAGGCAGCTTTCCCCCATTCTTTCCCCCTAGCAATTGGCATTCAGCGACACTGCCTCTGAACATGGAAGATCCATTAGACATCATGGCTATTAGTCACTGATTGAACTATCTTCCATGAACGTGCCTGTATTTTTTTTTAGTAACCGTCGCCCTGTCCAGTGGCACGTAGTTCCGCAAGACAGGGAGCTCTACCTTTCGCCTCTCCTGAATGTTTTGCTTTTTGTCCGCCTGGGTTTTAGCATTATGAGAGAGGGGGGCACTAGCTCCATCCAATCCAAGGGAAATGGCCGTGGCTCAGTGGTAGAGCACCTGCTTGGCATGCAGAAGGTCCCAAACTCAATCCATGGGACGTCCAGTTAAAAGGACCATGCAGAAGAAAAGAGATTGGATTTGTACCCCACCTCTCACTACCCAAAAGAGTCTCAGAGCAGTTTACAATCTCCTTTCCCTCCCCCTCCCCACAACAGACACCCTGTGAGGTAGGTGGGGCTGAGAGAGCTCTCTCGAGAACTGCCCTTGAGAGAACAGCTCTGAGAGAACTTGTGACTGACCCAAGGTCACACCAGCAGCTGCATGTGGACGAGTTGGGAATCAAAGCCGGTTCTCCCAGATTAGAATCTGCGCTCCTAACTAATACACTAGGCTGACTCTCACTACACAAAACTGGTAATAGGTGGTATGAAAAGACCTCAGCCTGAGACCCCGGAGAGTTGCTGCCAGTCTAAGTAGACAGTGCCGACCCTTAATGGACCAAGGGTCTGGTTCAGTGTAAGGAAGCTTCATGTGTTCATATGTGTGTTCAATCTCTCTATTGAGAGATTGGTGTAGTGGTTAAGTGTGCGGACTCTAATCTGGGAGAACCGGGTTTGATTCCCCACTCCTCCACTTGCACCTGATGGATGACCTTGGGTCAGTCACAAGCTCTTGAAAAAGAGCAGTTTGTGTCAGAGTTCTCTCAGCCCCACCCACCTCACAGGGTGTCTGTTGTGGGGAGGGGAAGGGAAAGGAGTTTGTAAGCTGCTCTGAGACTCCTTTGGGTAGTGAAGGGCGGGGTAGAAATCCAATCTCTTCTTCTTCTTTTACCTCACAGGGTGTCTGTTGTGGGGAGGGGAAGGGAGAGGAGTTTGTAAGCTGCTCTGAGACTCCAAGTGAAGGGCGGGGTATAAATCCAATCTCTTCTTCTTCTTTTACCTCACAGGGTGTCTGTTGTGGGGAGGGGAAGGGAGCGGCGGTTGTAAGCTGCTCTGAGACTCCAAGTGAAGGGCGGGGTAGAAATTCAATCTCTTCTCTTCTTCTTCTATACCACTTTTAGCTTTATAAACCTCTACCACATCTCCCTTTAGAAGAAGAGGAGATTGGGTTTATACCCCGCCCTTGACTACCCAAAGGAGTCTCATCAGAGCGGCTTACAATCTCCTTTCCCTTCCCCTCCCCACAACAGACACCCTGTGAGGTAGGTGGGGCTGAAAGAGCTCTGAGAGAACTGCTCCTGAGAGAACAGCTCTCACAGAACTTGTCACTGACCCAAGGTCACACCAGCAGCTGCATGTGAAGGAGTGGGGAATCAAACCCGGTTCTCCCAGATTACAGTCCGCGCTCTTAACCGCTACACCAAACTGGTTCTCTCCCATCCTGACAACAAACACCAACCGTTCTAGCCTTTCCTTGTAAGGAGAGTACTGGCAAAGCCTTCGTCGATCCCGCCGCTCTTTCGAAACAGCCTCCCGCACAGCTACGTAAGTAGACTCCCCTCGGCCCCTCCGCTTCCCTCCCCTGCCCCCGCCACGCACCTGCCCTGGGAGCCGTGGCAGTATTTCGGATCCGACTGGATGAGGGCAGTCTCCCCCATCTCCATCAGCTGCACACACAAGTCCAGGGCCTGCAAGGAAAGCAAAACGGAGGTCACCAGCAGCTAAAGATGGTTGTCTGAAAGGCCCTCAAAAGTTGAGACCGTAGACCAGGGGTGGCCAAAGTGCGGCTCGGGAGCCAAATGCGGCTCTTTCACACATATTGTGCGGCTCCCGGCAGGGCAGCTGGGGAAGCGAAGGGGAGGCGTGCTTTTCCCCCCTCCCTCCCATCTATTTGCTTTCTTGGTTCTCTCTCTCTTTCTACCTCTTTCATTCTGTCTTTCCACCTCGCTCCCTTTTTCTCTCTCTCGCAGACAAATAAATATCATTGGACAAATAAATAGCATCATCAATATCTGTTTCTACCCCTTCTGTTTTTATTTCTGGGGGTCTCATTTAATGTTAACAAAAAGCAAATGTGCAGATTTTTGAAATAAAACCGTGTGTGTGATATTTGTTCATGTCTTGCGGCTCGCAAACATCTGATGATTATTCTACGTGGCCCTGATGTTGAGCAGGTTTGGCCAACACTGCCTTGGAGAAAGGGGTGGGGAGGGCAACCCTCCCCTGAGTCACAGCGGAGCTCCAGTTTTGTGTGCAGAAGATCTCCAGATCAAATCCCCTGCATCTCTGGGACGAGGAAGCCAGAGAGCAGGTGTTGGGAAAGACCCATCTCTGCCTGGGACCCTGGAAAGCCAAGAAATAATATTGTCCGGGAATAGCAGGTTATGCCAACTCAGGGGGTCCCCAACACGGTGCCCGTGGGCACCATAGCGCCCACTGACACCTTTCCTGGTGCCCACCAAGTGCCTTTAGAAAGTGGGCAATGCCAGGCGGGATTACTGCCCACTGGAGATTTGATCAGCTGTGCAGATATTATTATTTCAGGGCTCTTTTTGTAGAAAAAGCCCAGCAGGAACTCATTAGCATAATAGGCCACACCCAACAGCAGGAACACATTAGCATATTGGGCCACACTCCTGAGAGCACAGGTCATTAGCACATTAGGCCACACCCCCATGTTACCAGAAGTGTGGTTATCCAGCCACACCCACCTTTTGCTTATTATTCTGTTTACCTTGTTGTCAAAACCCAGGGCTTTTTTGTAGCAGGAACTCCTTTGCATGTTAGGCCACACACCCCTAATGTAGCCAATCCTAATGAGTTTCTGCTGTTGGGTGTGGCCTATTATGCTGATGAGTTCCTGCTGGGTGTGGCCAACTTGGGAGCCAGCCGGAACTCCGTTCCTGTGCGTTCCTGCCCAAAAATAGCCCTGTTAAGTAACTGCAAGTGGATTTTGCCATTTCGTACAGTATTATCGTTGTTGTTTATTAGAGGGAACACTGGTCGTATCCCAGCTTACGCCGGGCTCTGGGTGATGTATCTAAGGGTATAATGCCATAAAAGCATATAAAACATTAAAATTCTACAGAACAATTTAATATCTAGCTTTTAATTTCTAAACCTTAATTTCTAAAAAATGTCACATTGGTAGTAGCAGCTGCCACCAGGCCACAGGGTTCTTCATGGTATGACTGAAGGTAAACTGCGGCAGCCATTTTGTTGCTGGCTTGGCCTCCAGCAGCAGCCATTTTGTGGCTGTGCCCAGCAGGCTGTGTCAGAATTCCAAAGGTGCCCACAGGCTCAAACAGATTGGGGACCCCTGGGCTAAGTGGTTATAGATGAAGCAGGTACACAGGAGGCCATGGAATCGATCACCGGTGTCTCTAATTCAATTATGGCAGGTAGCAGCTTTTGGGGAGAGAGACCGGCCAGTTGGACCAAGGGACTGGCTTGGCAGAAAGCAGTTTTGTTACGTTCCAGATTCAGGGGGGTAGCAGTGTTCCCTCTAAGCTGAGTTAGTGTGAGCTAGCTCACAGTTTTTTAGCCTCCAGCGCACACATTTTTGTCTTCGCTCAGGGAGAATGGCTCCACAGCAAACTGATTTATGCAGTAGCCAAACTGCTCACTCACAGTTTTAATGCCAGTAGCTCACAAAGTAGAATTTTTGCTCACAAGAATCCACAGCTTAGAGGGAGCATTGGTGGGTAGCCATGTGGATCAGAACAATGTTTAAGTCCCGCGGCACCTTTAAGGTGCCCCTTGTCTCGAACTTTGTTTTATTATGTTAAACTTTCAGTAAATTTTCAGTTAAACTTTTAGTAAAAATGATGTCAGGATGGGCGCTGGAAGCGGGCATCACTCGGTCCCTTAACGTCTCTGTGGTGATAACCAGATACACTTTGCCCCAGACATCAGAGCAGAAAATGGCTGTATGCTTAGACAAGAAAGTGTGCTGGAGAGCAGCTATGATGCTCTTCTCTATGCTCAAGCCTCAAATTCTTGGCACACACAGCAGGACGCAAATTTTTGTATGTATTTATTTCATGCATACTCTGCTTTTCTCCCTATTGGGGATACAAAACATTCTCCTCTCTCCAATTTTTTCCTCACAGCAACCCTGTGACATTATCATCATCATCATCATCATCATCATTCTTCAACATTGTGTGTAGTGCAGCCAGGAGATCCTAAGACTGTCTGGCAGCCACAAGTTCTAGCTCTTTTAGCATTATGCACCACGAGGTGGTGAGTGAGACCTGTTTTCAAGGCAAGAGATGTGGTTTGCCATTGCCTGCCTCTGCCTCACGCCCCTGGTATTCCTTGGAGGTCGCCCATCCAAATACTAGCCAGGGGCGACCCTGCTTAGTTTCTGAGATCTGATGAGATCAGGCTAGCCTGGGCTATCCAGGTTAGGGCCCCTGTGAGATAGGGTGTGACTAGCCGAAGGTCACCCAGCGAGCTAGTGTGGCAGAGTGGGGATCTGAACCCGGGCCTCCCGGATCCTAGTCCAACACTCTACCTGCCACTCCATGCCAAGCTGTCACCAAGTCCAGTTTTTATTTGCTGAAACTGGACAAACAAAAATGAGAAGAAGAGGAGGAGGAGGAGGAGATTGGATTTATATCCCGCCCTTCACTACCCGGAGTCTCGGAGTGGCTTACAATCTCCTTTCCCTTCCTCTCCCCAGAATAGACAACCTGTGAGGTAGGTGGGGCTGAGAGAGCTCTCTCAAGAACTGCTTCTGAGAGAACAGCTCTGAGAGAACTTGTGACTGACCCAAGGTCACACCAGCAGCCGCGTGCAAACCCGGTTCTCCCAGATTAGCGTCGGCGCTCCTAACCACTCCACCAAACTGGCTCTCAGTGTTCGTCGTCCCAATTTGTAGTCCGAGTTTACCAGTATTACCATGCGGACAGCAAAACAGTTTATTGCCAGCGGGGTGGGGGACTGGGCAACGAAAAACTCCTCTGTTTGTACGTGCACACCCACCTGGATGACATCGCAATCGCCCAGCGTGAAGGTGAGGCTAGGGTTCTCCTCCACCACCGTGCCGTCCTCCAACGTGGTTTTTAATCGAATGGTGACATCCTGGTTCTTAACCGGCCGGGTCTCCCTGCCTTGACCCGCCACGAGGACTTTCTTCTTCAACAAACCGCTCCCTGGAGGAGGACCGGGAGGAATGGTTTTAGCTAACGCCACCCTGATCAGAGCGCTGCAGACAGTCCCCAAATGCCCCCAGCGCAAAAGGAAACCAATATCGTGCAGCCAGGAAAGGGGCAGGAAAAAAGCACCCAAAACGATCAAAAAGACGACAGCACCTGCCCTACAAAGAAAGGCTAAAGGGGCTTGAGGACTCTGTAGTTCAAGGGGGAAAAGAAAGGATGATGTGATATTTATATAATTACAAGCGGGGAGACCCACAAGGACTTGTAGGGGGGGAATCACACTTTCCCCTCCCCCCACTATTTCTTCTTCTCCTTCCTTGAACAGCTTGTCCTTTTCCCTGATTTCTTCTCTTCTTTCCACCCACCAGTCAACTCACGTTTATCCACGCACACCCCTTCCGCTTTCTCTCCTTCCTTCCTCCAGCAACCTCGATAAACGAGGGCCTCATTATATGGTTCTGGTTGCTAGGCTGTGCCTAGTTGTACAGCCGGGAACCTACCAGGAATTACAGGAGGCCCCTTTCGCTCAGATCCCCCTTCCCACTAATTCTCATCTTTCTCCCTCCTGGCAACCCCCATATCCTCACTTTCCCCTGCTTCCTTCTCTCCTCCCAAACAACCTTTTATCTGCCCCAATCTTCAGCTTATCTCTATTTACTTCATTTATACCCTAGCTTTCTCCACAATGGGGACCGAAAGCAGCTCACGTCATTCTCCTCTCCTCTCCTTTATCCTCACAACAACCCTGTGAGGCAAGTTTGGCTGAGAGTATGCGACTGGCCCAAGACTGACCCTTTATGTTTCCACAGTGGAGTGGGGATTTGAACCCGGGTCTCTCGTATACTAGTCAGAAACTTTAACCACTACATACACGGCCTTCATACCTGAGGGACTGCCTTTCCCCATATATACCCCAGCGAGCACTACGGTCGGGGTCACAACATCGACTAGTTATCCCAGGCCCCAGGGATGCCAGGCTTGCTGCGACCAGGGCTAGGGCCTTCTCAGTGGCAGCTCCTTGCCGATGGAATGAGCTCCTTGAGGAGATCAGGGCCCTGCGGGATCTTGTACAGTTCCGCAGGGCCTGCAAGACGGAGCTCTTCCACCAGGCCTTCAATTAAGAGCCGCCACCACTACCACCAATGCCCGCAATTAACATCTGCGGTGCAAGGCCAGCCTAACTGACATTATATGGCACCATCAGGAGCCCAGAGACTGAGAACCTTGGGTGCGGTATTATATGGTCCGCCACTGTGATTTAAAACTGTGAGCATTTTAACTGTAATTTATTTAACTGTAAATTATGTAACTGTTTTGATTGTTTTAACTGTTTTACGATTTTGGTGCACTGTACCAAATACTGTTAGCCGCCCTGAGCCTGCTTGCGGGGAGGGCAGGATATAAGTGTGATAAAATAAAATTAAAAATTCATGGGGTAGCTGCTGTTGAACAGTCACACACATTGCCTCGTGGTTGTTGCCAGACCTGGCCTTAATGAGTCCTACCTCAAAGACCAAAACAGCCTAGAAAGGACCCTGCTCCCTCCCCTCTAGCTTTTACTGACAGAAACCAAGGCTTGAAGGCTGTCATTACTGTTGTCCTAGCTTAGCAACAGCCACTGAGAACATTAATTTCTTAAAGCTACAAGTGCTGCTTCTATTACTTGGGGGGGGGGGGGATTAACCCCACTTTTTGTTTTTCTGAAATCCTGGGACGTTTTTCAGGTTTGTCGAAAGATCCACTTTCTCTTCACGGCTCCAGTCTCCGGATTTAAGTATCCAGAGATTTGGCCATGTTAAAAATTAGATATACTGAGTAAAGTAGGGGAAACATGAAATCATTACAAAGCCCTACTATTATTATAATAGAACTTTGTTCAATTGCTTCAGACCAACACAGCTACCCACCTGAATCTATCTTCAGATATCCGATGAAGTGTGCATGCATTAATTAAACTTGCATGCATCCAGAGTTAAACTTGGCTGGTCTGAAAGGTGCTCTGCACTCCAACTTTGTTCTATTACGATAATGTAGTGACGTTATTCATTCTTTTTTATTTATTATATTTGATTTCTAGCCCTCCCTTCCCTGCCCAGCAAGGCTCAGGGTGGGTTACAACAGTGCAGATAAAACTGTAAATAATAACGATTAAGCGTAACGATTAAAATCGCTAAAACCTATAAATGACATCAAGCGGTACTAACAAGTCAGATGGCAATCAAGGGCACGAGTTAACAATTAACACATCCGCTCTGGATAGAAAGCTCTACCTATGTGCGCCCCTTGTGGGACACTGCATACCAAAGGGGAATGCAGTGAAACCCTCTCCCCGAAGCGGCGGCGCTGACCCACCTCAATCCAGGTTTTCTGCAGAGGTCATCTGTGAGGGTGACCAATGTCGTCTCCGTCCCATAGCCAGGGCGGAAGCCGGACTGGAATGGATCCAGGATAGAGGAACCTTCCAGCAAAGCCTGGGGCTCTTCCGCTGCCGCTCTCTCAACTACCTTACCCAGAAACGAAAAATCTGAAACTGGGCGGCAGTGGGCTGGATCAGTCGGATCCAGGGGTGTCAAGAGTGGCCTCAGCACGGCTTCCTTTAAAGTCCCCGGGGAAGTCCCTGAGTTCAGGGACAAATTAATTATTTAATTAATTCAGTTTACACCCCGCCCTCCCCGCCGAGGTGGGCTCAGGGCAGCTTACATAGATAATATGCACCAGAGGGACGGCCTTTCCCTGTACGTTCCCCAGAGAGCACTGAGGTCAGGGTCGCAAAACCGCCTGACTCTCCCAGGTCCGAAAGACGTCAGATTGGCCTCAACCAGGGGTAGGGCCTTCTCAGTGGCGGCTCCACACTGGTGGAATGAGCTCCCATATGAGCTCGGGGCCCTGCGGGACCTTTTACAGTCCCGCAGGGCCTGCAAAACAGAGCTCTTCCACCAGGCCTTTGATTAGGAGCCGCCACTGGCACCCACACATGGACAACATCTGAACTGCTAACAACGGAACAGTTAAGGCCCTCATGTTGAGAGCCACAAGAACAGCTGATGACACGGGTATGGCCACAGTGTACTCTCTACCATCGAGCGTAGCCTTGGAGAGGCGGCTCCACACTGGTGGAATGAGCTCCCATATGAGCTCGGGGCCCTGCGGGACCTTTTACAGTTCCGCAGGGCCTGCAAAACAGAGCTCTTCCACCAGGCCTTTGATTAGGAGCCGCCACTGGCACCCACACACGGACAACATCTGAAGTGCTAACAGACCACTGCCATCTATATACAACAGCACTTTATTTACACATTTGATTGCTCTGTTGATGCATCTATGTTTTATTGTATTTATTCTGTTATATTTTAACTTGTTGTAAGCCGCCCGGAGCCTGCCCATGTGGGAAGGGCGGAATATAAATCGAAAGTATAAATAAATAAATAAAATCTGCCAGGGGGACCCAAATTCCATCACCGCTGGCTTTCACTGGCCATGACAGGCATGGGCCCAGGAGGCAAATGGTGGGCTTCGCAGCCCTGTCAACCTCCTCCTGGGAGTGTCGACTGAAGTGGTCCATGACAGGGCCTGAAGATGGCCAAGGGACCTCCAGTCCAGTTCACCCACTGTAGCAGTAGTGGCCGGCAGGTCCTGGCGGAGCGACAAAATTTTATCCGCAAAAGAGATCGCACAGGCCTCACAGCTAATTGCCGAATTATCGTCTTTCCGAGTTCCCTGTGGGAGGGAGGTTAATAATCGAATTGTTCCAAATGACTGAGATGGGCAAGGGCTAGAGGATGCAATGGAAGCCGCATAGGATTCCTTCTTTACGGCTTTCACTGCCATCTCATAGGATTTCATAAACGTCCTACAAGATATCCTTGCAGCTTTGTCACGAGTCCGCCGCCACGCTCGCTCTTGGCGTCCCAGCTCTCGTTTCATCCTCCATAGCTCCTCGGTGTACCAAGGAGCTAGTTCGGAACGGGAGTGAAGAGGGTGTCGGGGAGCGATTCCGTCGATGGCTTCAGAGAGACGGCCACGCCAGTCCTCTACCAGCGCATCTAATGCATCGCCAGGGGGCATCGGATCCCACAGTTCTTTCTGGAAGCCGACTGGATCCATCAGTCTCCGTGGGCGAGGATAAATCAGCTCATCGCCCAGACAGGGAGGGACTGGGAGACTCAGACGAGCCTTCAGGACGGAGTGGTCCGACCATGGCACTGCATCAGTGCCATTCAGGTCCACATTTATCCCCATGCCAGAGATCAGATCTAGCGTGTGGGCTGCTGGGCGCATGGGACCTGATACAATCTGAGAGAGTCCCAATGCTGCCGTGGACAACAGTAGGTCCGTAGCCTGTGAGGAGGCCGTCTCATCGGCGTGGACACTGAAGTCGCCCTGAACTAACAGTCTGGGGAACTCCAAGGCCTCGCCCGATACCACCTCCAACAGGTTCGGCAGGATATCTGCCGGTACGCTAGGCGGTCGTTATACCAGTCAGATAAGCCAAACTCTCTTCAGCGAACCACAGGCCTGCACAATCAATGCCAGAGATCTGCAGGGAGTGGCCTGAAGGAGAAAGACTCTCGTACGAGTATCACCACCCTCCGCACATTTTGTCCGGGACCAGTGTTCCCTCTAAGCTGAGTTAGTGAGAGCTAGCCTCTGGCTCACACATTTCTGTCTTCGCTCAGGAAGGATGGCTCCAGAGCAAACTAATTCATGCAGCAGCCAAATCGCTCGCTCACAGCTTTAATGCCAGGAGCTCCCAAAGTAGAACCTTTGCTCACAAGACTCCACAGCTCAGAGGGAGCATTGTCCGGGACTGATGGAGAAACGAGAAAACGGGGGAGGGGGAGCTCTTTCAGGGCGACCGTCTCACCCTCAGACCTTCCTCATTCATTATCACTGTTCTTTACTAATATTACGAAGGCCTTCGATCGTTATCAAGACCTTCCACATTGTATCGTCATTACTATCTCTCCAGGGCCATCAGCGCGCAGGTGAAACTTTCAGAACAATATAATAAGCTTCTTCCCGTTAATGTGATTATTGGTTTTTTT